CCAGGCGATAAACAGCCACGGGGCTCGCCACGAGATAAGGCTTCCAAGCAGTCTATCAAACAAACAAATCCAGCTGACAAATCTGGATAAATGTTACAAAATGACGCCATATTACCCATGTATTTTTCCGCCTGTATATCCACACTGTCCGTCCCCCCAAAAAAAAGACAAACGGGAAAAAAATATATATATCTGTACGTGTGTGTGCACTTATGTGCTGTACACCCACTTCAGCCTGTCCTGGAAAAATCATTATAGCCCCCCCTCCCTCACACAAAAACACACACACGGCATGCAGATGGAGAAAAATGGGGCTGAGAGCCAGAAGGCTCGAGGGGCTTTTCATGACAATAACCTTCTGCAGAGCTGCTTGTATCCCTCCACCTAAATCAGAGGTGCTGAGGGATGGGTGGGAAAATAAGCAAGAAAACCGTATAAAATATTAGGCAAGGAAAATTCGTACAAAGTACAGAGGAGGAAGAAATCTGTGTCATTTTGCTCTCATGGCCTGGAGAGACGGCACGGTAAATGCTCTTTTGAAACAGCTTGAACACTGAAATGATGATGGCTTCTTTTGCCTCAGCAAAGCACATTAATACATAGCTGAATGCCATTTCCACTTTTGTTAAATGGCTCACCTATTGAGTATTCAATTACAAAGACTATCTCTCATTTGGAAGACAGGCCAGAGACCCATAGAAATACCCTCCCTCCGAGTGTGAAGCTGCAGAATGCACTGGGCAACTTTGGAAGGTATGTCGAGCTCCATGTATAGGGATGATATATAATCCTGATGGCAGAGGAGTGAGCAGGCTGTTTGGGGTTGATTGTTGGGAAAAAACTAAGGTGTTTTACTGAAGACGCATGGTTTCTAAACAAATTGCATGGACAGAAATACAAAAGTCCAAGTGGATGAAAATAATCAGAACTGAAAGGCCTTGATTCCTGGTTTATAGAAACATCAGTCAAGGTGATTAACTCAGTCTTCATTAATCGCTCCATTTTCCGGTGATATTTCTAAAATTCCCCAATACAAACTCATCAGTAATGATTCCCCCCCACACACCTCCCACCGCCCCCACCGTATGGTTTATCTCATATGCTCAAATAGCAAAAGCAAATTGTGGCTCATTTTATCAGCCAATCCACTGGCATGTGGTTTTTTTCACCAGAAATGATTCCCTCATTCAGGCCTAATTAACTGCGGCCATTAAACCGAGGGAAATGTAATGCCCTGGGTTCCATGTCAGGTAGTCAGAGGAGGACAGCACAGGAGGACTCAATTAGGACTGCGCTGTTCCCAGGTTATCACACGACATGTTTGCCAATTAAGTGAAGTAGCCTCTGATGTCTCTGTGCCTCTGTCGGCATCATCTCAGAGGCTCTGGCAACACAGAAAAAGAGTCTCTCTCCACCCCCCACCCCCCACCCCCCCCAACAGCGAAGGAACAGACACTTCACTATGCCCCAAAAAGGCAGTAATTACAGGATGGACGGGAGACTGTTATATAAGCACAAGTCTGCCGATAGGCCAGGCAGGCCGTTCTGATGCCAGGTTTCAAACAAGTACCAGCAGGATCGAGTTATAGCAAAGTTACCCAGAGCAGACTCAGTCAGACACACTGACAGATTTCCACTTCAGAAGCGGGCAGAAAAGAAATCAACACCATTGACATTTTGTCTGTGTATCGGCATGACTATTTTGGAATAGCAAACAGTCAAAAGAGAACTTTGATTAGGACAAATTTAGTTCCTAACCTTGAAAAACAAAGCAGTTTAGGGTTCTAAAAACCAGTTTGCTCAATTTTTTAGTATCAGTCACTTTCAAAACATGAGATCCTATAGCTGTTTTAACCATATTTCCCACAGAGAGTGTAGCCCTATATCGTGACTCAGTCAGTGTGGGAGAGGAAGGCAGAGACAGGCAGACACATTACCCTTCCCTTATGGCACATTCTGCGAGGCAATAGGAGTCAGACTGCATGATGCTGACTGTCACTGACTTGTTATGAAAGCATCACAGGCTGAGGCTTATCCATCACATTGGGGGGTGGAAGTTAGGGTTAGAGGACGACCAGGCGGGCTGGAGGGAGTGAGTGTGGGCGAGGCGGCCCTGTTGCCTGTCACTCATCATGCACTGCTGCATGACCGCCAACCTTGTCTGGCTTGTGCACAATGGGAGGTCTGGGGCTTGACTGTATGAGCAGTCATTCCCTACTCCCTCCTCTCAGCAACCAACACTGGGGTGGAGGGGGGCCAGAAGGAGTCAAAACACACTGGACAGGCATTAGTCTTACACTGAACCTTGAAGGCCTCACTGCTTAACTTAGCTGAGCACTGAATATCTTTTCTGTTTCTAACCTAAGCTCTGAAAACCCCTTAAAACCAGGTTCGGTTCCAAGGAGCAAACCCTGACAGGTCTAAAAAAAAAAAGATAATCTTCTTCAGCAAACATCTACTGCAATTATCCAGAGTCATTAATGATTGGAGGTGTGAGCAAACTTCTTAAGTAAACAGTCACAGTACCACCCACCTGAAAATACATAATGCTTGCAAAATGTGCACGACGGTTAAGCAGACAGAACTGTTCTTCACAGCAATTAGGGTGCAAGAGAGAGAGAGGTGCATATGTTAAAGCAAATCCTTCTGTTGGCTGCAGAAAGAAAAGAGGAAAAAGCTGAAGTCAGCAACGGTAATAAATCCTCAAATGCTGAGCCGTTTCTTCCAGCTCTGTCCTGGTCTGTGGACCCCATCTCAGAGCTAAAAGCAGGGCTCTGTTAAGTAGCTTTAGCTGTGGAGTAGCAAGCCCAGTCCAGTGAACATCCACTCCCCCCTCACCCCCAAAGGTGCAGTTTGTCCAGGTGGTGCCTCGAAATCAACCTCATCTAGGCAGTTAGAGGAGAGTTCCCAGCAGTACCGCAGTCTGCGACCACAGCTTGACCTCAAACTAGCTACTCACTTCCACAAAGCTGAGTAAAATCAATAGCTCAACCGGCATGAAATGGTGATGAGATTGAGATGAATGATCGTAGAGCTAATTCTGTTCATCTCTTTATGGGGCACTATTAAGTGAGAACTTTAATGAATACTGAGAAGAACAATTAGTGGAAACATTGGATGCGGAATTTGGATTTAGTTTCAAACAAATTGAAATAATAAGCCATTAACTACATGCAAAAATCATTTGAAGGGCCTTAACCTCTAACAAGTGTCTCTTAGAATTTCAGAAACATCCATTCATTTTCCGAAATGAGGACTGTATGTATTTTCCCTGAACATTAACTGAAGCTTGCATCAAACATGTAATTAACTTATGGCATCCTTGATTTAAATCTTAAAACTACTATGTTTATGACAAACTTTGCTTAACTCGAAAACATAATAGTTTCTGCGAGTCATGACCATCACATTTTTTTCAATATTTCAGGTATGTGACAAATAAGAACCACATCCCACTTATAAAGAGAGGCAGTGATCACAAAGCCTGGTATTTCACTTGACTTCCTATCATCTTGGCTCAAGGTTCAACAGAAAATGTGAATAAAAAAGGAGAATACAGGCAAATCTCTTGTCTGTTGGTACTCGCCTGATGTTTTGCATGAAGGTTTTGAGATCATATCTTTCGCAAAGCTGGCAGAGGTTGGATTTGTGTACTGTAAATTAATCCATTTAAGACAGGCTTTTGCCAAAGCTATATCATGGGAGCACTTTAAAAGATAACCTCATTATATCCTACCTGCAAGTGCAAGAAGATGCTTGACGTGCATTGACTTGCACTATCTCCTGCATTGGTTTTCTCATTATAGTCTGTTCACAACACTCTTATGCTGTGAGAAAACTGTTGATCAACCCTAAAAACAATGTAATCTATGGAGAAATCTTCTGGGAAGCACTTCCGAAAGAATTTCTGTATCTCATCCTGCTAAATCACTTAAATCCTGTGTATTCAAGGGAACCTATGGGGTATTACTGTAGTTTATGTTAACGTGAGACAAGTCAAATATGTTATGCATCAATCAACCTGAAAAACTGTCACTGAATAAAACAGCTCATAAAAACGTTTTTCTGTCTGTCAAAAGGCATTTGGTCATGATTGTTTGAAATATATCAATAGATTGATAAAAAAGGACAAAATATTAAGTAGGTTCAAATAGGTAGGTTCAAATATATTGGCATAGGACTGTACATTGTTCATTTTTAATCCTGTATTTACTTTGCATAGAACAGCTCACATTCAGTTGCATTCCAGGAACTTTTTTTCCAAGTTAGTTCCTCTTGTAGATAATAACCCGACAGATAGGACACAATCAGATAACTACCAAAGCAGCATAATGTGAAACGGCCACAGTAGAAAGGCAGGACACAAACATGCCTAAACATAAATGCCGACCACAGACCTCTCCCCATGTGTGGTGACAAAAAAAAGGTTCATAAAAACAAGCTACAAGCACATCATATATACATAATAGCACATCTAACATTTTAAGAATGATAAATTATGAAAACATTTGCAGAAAGATTAGCACAACTGCAAAACAATTCTTGATATGCATGCATATTTAATATCTAGTTCACCAGTATAGGTGTTTTCAAGTCTTTTTGAACACTGGCTTAGGGCCTCAGCAAAGACGATGGCCAGAATGGTTGCAAAATATATTAAGACCCAAATATTTTCAAGAGGAAAGCCACAGTGATCACACAGTCAATATATCAACATTTTATACCACATTGTATGGCAATTCATTCAGTCAGTCCTCCATAGCTGGTGCAGCCAAGCCTTGTGGTGGCAGCATATAAAAAGTCAAGGAGATTTTATGTTTCAGTGTAATTAACGTTTTTGGAGATAGTCTCACTAAAAAACGCAAAAACAAAGAACAATGAATCTCCTTTTTTAACAATGCAAAGGTGGGTTTTAACACTCAGGAAGTGCTGAAAAGTAGAAAATCTGTCCCTTTCAACAGATTTTTTTACTTTAGTAGAATAGCTTTTGTTTCACTCACCGTCTCATTTCCAAACAGGATGTCAACGTAAGGCATAACCTTCATCAAAGGCTCTTTAAAGAACTGGCTGATGAATGGGGCTGAGAGGTTCATGCAGAAGATTTTGTTGTTGTCCGAGGCGTGCTTTGCCACCTTGAGGATTGATTCTGGAGACACAGTCAGGAAGAAACCCTAAAAGAGAAAGGAGCGACATTCACCGGGTCAGATTTTCAGCAGCTTTACAAACATCACATGAATCAAAATGATCATTCTGCCCAGTATCACGTCTCGCGCTGTATTATCTGTGTTTTGGCACTGCAATATAGACCAGAGTGGATTGAACTGAGACAGGCTCCCATGAAGTGAAACCCTCATAACTGCTAATTTGTGGGTTTTGGATTTTGGCGAGACAGTTCCAGAGTGAGATAGCTTTATATTACCAACATTACAGTGGGGCTGAAGGACAGAAAATCAGCAGCAGCGCTGAAACAGTTGTCTGAAGCAGTTTTTTTAGAGCACACACAGAGCAACAAAGAAGAGGAAAAAGAGCAGGAAAAATCCATCCGGGACAAAGCCCGTGGCTGGACTCCAAAGCTCGTACTGGAGGAAGCAACGTGCACGTATCCGATGATAGGGTGAACAAAAGTCTTGTCTGGCCTCTCCTTACTTGGAAACAGGAGAGGCAGGCCCACTCATTGTGTGAATGAATACAAATCAGGTAAGAAAACACCTTTGTGTTTCAGGTGGAAACCTGAAGCGAGACTCTCCTGCAAGCCACACAAAAACACTCCTCCTTTGATACTGATCTTCTTAACCTTGTTTTTCAGCACCGAGCTGCTCTGTAAAACCACTGTGTCACAATAGGGGCAAAGGGGAGGAGAGGAGGAAAGGAAAGTTTCAGCACAGTGATACAATTAATCTGGCTGAAAAGCCACTATTGTGTAAAAGAGAGCGGTTCTCATTAAAACACTACGACATTTGCAGCGACAGAGGGCCGTCCTGAAAAAGAAAAAGAAGGGTGTACAATACCAATGAATGGAGAGTGTCACTGAAGTCAGTCAAATGTACAGAGCATTACAATTCTGCTGTGCAAAGCAGGTGACTTATTTATTATGCATTCAAGATGAGACCCACTATGGAAAGGCACTCATTCCTCTTTAGGGCCTCTATGTTGTCTTTTTTTAAACATCTCGCAGTTAAGGCCCCGGTCAAACCTTTGGTCACTGTGGCACCGTACCATCTGTTGAGGACTAAAAAGGTGTTTTCAATGGGTCTGGAAGTACAAAAGGAACTCACTCCGGGCTAATGGCCCATCTCTGACCCTGACATTTTTCTTTTGCAGTGTGCCAAACGTGCACGAGGAAGGAGAGATTGTTCTTTGACACAAATGGTCTTTTTTGATAGCTGAAAATAAACTGTCATGGTTACCGTAATTCTAACACTGATCAAAGGCCACGGGCTTGATCAAGTACCTCGAAGGGTGGTGAACTTGGAACACACCATGAAACAGCTTCTCTAATCACACGTTGGCGCTGTGCAATTTACTCCTAACCTCAGCACCACTGGCAATGCCGACATATAAAATGACTCAGTAACACATTAATTCACTTATGGGAAGAATACAATCATGTCTAAGTTAAAAATGCACACTCACATTCTGCATAATATGTTAGCAAGAATGGCTTTAAAAGATTAAGCGAATGAAGGTTAATACAGAGCAACACATTTGTTGAGTTAAATTTGCAGTGCAAAACTACTACATCTATTTTAAATAATCTTTAAACTAGAATTATTTGTGTGCACAGTCCCACGAACAAACCTGGTATTGCAACAATTTTTTATGTATGCATCCACCACTAGTATTGGAATAAATATGATTAATGATGATTATGATTATGATAAATTGTATATGGAAGTGGTTGTAACAAATTTGCAATAAAGGTTGTTACCCTGCAAACTGACCCAAAAGAGAACAAAGATTCAGAGTGTACACTCATATGCAGTCTCAAAATCTGTTTGTTCACAAAAAGAATATTTTTGCCTTGGTTATTTATCCCACCAGACTAAAAAATGTATGACTCAAATGGGTTTTGGGGAATAAAAAAAGCCCCAGTCTTAGCCATGTGAAATTCCAGTTATCACCAGTATAGTCTGCTGCCTCCGAAACAGGAGAAGTTAAGTCTTTAGGACTGCAGTGAAGATCATGTATCAAGAATGTCAGATCCTATTTCCCAGGTGTCAGAGAGCTCTACGAAGTGGGGTGACTATCATATTTCCAGGTCAAAATGATCAAAGTGCTGGGCACACTTTGTACAATTTTCACCTAGCCAAAACATTCAATAAAGCATTCAGAAATGTATTTTCCTGGCAGACAATATCACAGAGTGATGTCTGGCCATGTCAAGTGGTCATTTGAGGGAATAGTTGGAACAGCAGAGCATCAATTTTCAATGTTTACCTCAAAACGAGGAGTAACTTCTATTTTACTCAGACAAAGAAAATGTCTGAATGCTACTCATGACATGAAATTAGCAGCAATCTAACCATAGAGAGCTTTACAACTCGGCAACAGAACACTTTTATACCTCGCCTTCTATTTCATTGTATCAGTCTTTTCCCTGGGGCTGCTCACATCTGAAAAGCTGGGGGTGATGGATGGCATGGTGTCACCAGGCTTAAAATAAAAGTGGACATCTGAAGGGTAAAAATGATCTATTTTGGGAAGGACATTTTCATTTGAACCAGCAGCAGAGGTGGTCATGGAAAAAAAAGCTTTTTTTTCTTCCCAGGTCTATTTTAATTCAGCACTGATAAGGGGGAGTGTTCAAAGTAGTGTGTCATGAAGGTTTTGACACTTCCTATTACTCAGGAATGATGGAGGGAATTCAAAGCATCGCCATCTCAGTTGAAGAGTAATTATCTCCACTGCTATTGCTGAAGATTAAATCAAATCCCCAGGTCTTAGGCAAATTTATTTATGCAACCACAAATCACGTAATTCCTCTCGGGGAGATTTTTCAATATTCTCATGTTAATAATGAATGAAAAATGACTATATGATGTTAAGAGACTCCTATACTGTGTGATGTGAAAAACATAATGAAATATCAATTCCTCTAGTTGACAGTTTTGAAAAATGCTTCATTGTCAACAGAGGAAAATATACAGAAGAATTTATCTTACTTTTTTACTTTCAATATTTATCATGGTGTATGTATATAATATATTTGAAAAGTAATGATATAAGATACACAAGCTTTCTGCATTATGTTCCTAAAAGTAGTGATAGAGGTGTTTTTTTTTAGAGACATTACAGTCCTAGCAGAGCAGGACTGGAAAGGCTTAGGACAAAGTTTTAAGACACATATTGCTTATTTTGTTGTGAAATTGTTTCTCTATTAGAAAAAAATAGAAACAGTAATAATTCTCTGAATTCTCAATACACTATCTTATAAAAATTCTGCACATGTGAGTTTATAAAAGTTTCTTTTTTTTGTTCACCTGATGGGTTAATACTATTGTATGAATGTGTGTGAGATCTAAATCCAAGTAACCAAACCAAATTTTACCCCTGGATGAGCAACACAGTCAGGAGACCTGCTCAAGGACAGATTCATAACAAGAGAAAGCAGATTTTTTCACGCTCTCTGACATTTGTGCCACTGGTGAATTTATTTTTGTATGGGGCAGACCTGTGAGCAAACCAGAAGTGTTTCAAAGCTTTTCAAAAGCTACCCAGGTCATGCTATCCCTGTCATTACCACAGATATCCCCCCCATCATGCTCTTTGGTGCGCCAGGTTCATTACACAGAATTAGATGTCACACAGATCAGAGCGCGCATGATGCCTCACACTGCTTTCCTCCTCTGTTATCTCTGTAAAGCACCATTGCGAGGTGGATCGATAGCTGAGGTTTGGAGCTTCATTAGCTCAGTATGACTCCTTCTCCATCAAGATACCTCTGGCATGCTACGCTGGTGTTGGGAGGTATATTTTACTCCCTGATCCCGAAGGTCCTGCTGTTTTACACACAAACACATAGACCTTGACACACGATGGGGGGTGGTGGAGATCTGTGTTAGTCTCCGGCTCGATAAAAAAGGAAAAAGAAAGAGTACAAACAAACAGAGGTAAGTGATTAATGGTGTCACAAAGTGCCTTGAGAGGAGGGAAAAAATTACAAGGATGAAAAGAGCTCATTTGAGGCTTTTCATTTCAAAGGAAAATTAGTTGGAAAGGAGCTACAAAGCAAGTCGGATTTTCACAATGCTAATGATGTTGTGTTTGCATTGAAATGGCCAGTTGGTTTCACTTGAAAACATGTTCAATTAAACCAGCAGAGAATATAAATGTGTAACAACCTCGCAACGTGATTCAGCTTTTGCTGCACTTTCAGGATGTTTGATCCGGCTGCGAGGCGATTCAAGCACGCCGATAGCATCTGCCTCCTCTTCTCTCTTCCATTAGGAATCATGTTCTGGTGAAGCTTATCAGACATCTAGGAATTCATCCACTTCTTCAGAGGGGACTGGAGGGAGGCCAGCTGTACTGGAAACAGAAGGGTGGGCCATAATTTTAAAGGCCGCTTAGAGCTGAGGAAAGAGGCAATCATGTTGGCAAGGATCTCCAGGGCAACATAAATGTGCCACGAACGCTGGTTTAAACAACTGGACAGAGCCATCACTTACTGACTGCTGCAGTATTTTCTTGTCAAACGTTTTCTATGGTTTAGATATTACCCAGTTTTCGAGCCAGTGGATATTTTCCCCTCGGGTCATAACAGTCCCATGTGCACCGTATAAAAAACTGTACGTACAGCTCAAAGGTCATGATGAAAAAAAAATGCAACTGGCCAAAGTCATCTTAATCAGATCACATTAAATAAGACATCAGAGCCAGCAGCACAGGGGAGGGTGTCTCACATTACCAGCTTGCAATTTGCACAACCATCAGAGAATATAATAATGGGCAACTCTGAGAGAACTCTACTTTAAAAACAACAAAAAGACCTAAACCTTAAGGTGTTGTTGGCATAACTGCATTGGATAAAGTGGTTTGGTTCAAGCTGTATCTCTCTAAAAGTAATTCAGGATCAACATCAGGGTCTGTTCAAATGCCTGCATTCTGAGCTCCCGTTAAGCTCTGCAGTTTCAAAAATGTGTTGGCTGGGGGAAGAGGCCGGCCTGAGCGGTGAGAGGGATGCCAAGGAATGTACTTAAGATCTAAAACAGACAAGATTTAAAGCCAAGAGCATCTAAATGCCAATACTAATCCACAAAATAATTCACCGCATAGCACAAACTGTTTCTCCCTTACAGATACCATATGTTGCCTCTGTGAAGAGAATGAAATGAAATAAATTAGGCTAGAAAAGACTTGTTTTTTTTCCTCTTAAAACTACGTAATCTTTGTCATGAGAAGCAAAACCAAGTTCCTTTGTTTTGCACTTTATGTTCTACAGCAACTCTAGAGTTGAACTCTCGTTTGGCTCACTGTTTCTTACTTCCATCATTATAAGATTAGCCCAGTACAAACTGTTTGGTTTGCAGGGAGTTAAAATTTGTTAATGTGCACACTCTCGAGTGTCCCTGTCTGCCACACTGCACTTAATTAGCATTTTAGTGCAAGCAGTTCTCTCTCCTTCAGTACCTCAGGAGGGGAAACATCACTCTGGCTTATACAAACACACATACTTTCAGTTGACATCCTGTAGTTCCTTACACAATTTGAGGACAGGATGGGGAATGGAAAGGAGAGTTTGTTGGGTGGGGAGGGGGACGCTTGGCTGGAAAAATGGGATACAAGTCCACCATGTGAAAACAGATGTCAGGGCTTGAGATTTGTCTCTCCTGAACAGGCTTGAAAGCACATTCTAATTTATGGGTCAGATGTATAAAGCAGAGATTCAGTGTCGGAGTGTCAACACCACAGAGGGGTGTCTAGTTTCAGTAACTCCAACACTGTGCACAGATCAAACCAAATCTCCACTGACATTCCTGCTGTTGGACAGCAGGCATCTCCAAATGTGCCACTCGGTGGACAAAAATGAATTAGCACACTTAACTTGAACACTTGAAATGAAGAACTGAGGGGACAATCTCTCACTGTTCAGAGTTGCTCCACTGCAAGCTAGCGCACCAGGTTGGAAAATTACAGGTAATTGCTGAGGCCGCTGAATCCAGTTTGGTTTTGGTTGAAATACTAAAATAACAAAGCTCTGATTGCTGAAAAGACAAGGGCAGGCAACTTGGAGGCCCTGTTGCTAAGAGTTAATATGATACATATTTCTCCCCCTTGAAATGTCCGAGGTACTGGCAAGAGACGACAAAAAGAAAAAAGAGAGGGAAAAAAGGAATGAGAGGGAGGGTGAGACCCCAACTCTCCCTGCAAATACTATCCATCTGCCATAATACATTTAACCAATATGAGAAGCTAAGGGAGTGCCCTTGCACAATATTGTGTGAACGCTGTCAAACTCAATGCAGAAGTTCTTTGCCCACGACTGACTGTGTGCTTAGCATTAGCCAAACAACAGAACATGTGGCAGGCAAAGAAAACTTAATCAATCTCAAACTAATCAAAGGGTCACACAAACGATATAACTGCATCTGGAATACTGTTTTTTCAAAAAGGTTTTTTTTGTTTTGCACGCTTCTATAACATGTAACTTTTTTTTCTATTTTTTGGCTGATCTGACAATGTTAGATTTCTTTATAAAGATATTTTTGCCAGAAAATGTAGTTGTTCTACCAATAATTTCCAAGATGTAGCATACATAGAATGTTTAGTTAAAAATAATCTTGCTACTGCAATGAAGCAACTTTAACCTGTTGGCATGACAACATACTGTACAGCAGGTGAACATTGTTGGTCCAAATTATGTCATTTGTGTTCCCACTCATTTATATAAGACAGAAGAGACAGACGTTTCTGTTTATCTATTTCTCTTTTTTGTTTTTATCTCGCTATCATTTTGCTTTTGGTTACCCAACTTTAGGCAGCTGGCGTGTGGACACAAAGTGATGAAAGTGTGAGCATGTGAGGCTTAATCACAGACATACATGCTACATCAGTAGAGAGTGGACTTTCACTTCGAATCAACAACTAATTCATCCTCCTGCTAGGTTGTGCAGAGCTGTTTGTGTTTCAGAGCGAGACGACTGGGAAGCTTCGGTAAATTTAAACGCAATCTTCTGATTTAAGCCATGTTTTGGGACAGATTTTGGGAAGTCTTTTATTGAAATCTTACCATCTACATTCAGTTCAGGTCAGTTTTCTGACCAAACCAAAGAAAGCACAAAAAAAGGCTTTTATGTTTTTCCATTTACAAAAAATAACTATTTTGCATTGTTTGCCTTTAAAACTGACTCTATATAGATTATTTTTATATACAAAGCCTTTAAAGTCTACATTTTCCATAGCTTTTCAAACCCAGCTCATCAATATGTCTTTTAAACCATGTTGTGACATAGGCTCTGCATACATAAAGTCTCTAGACTCAGGCTGACACAATAATCCTTGATTATCATCCACTTTTTCACGCTTTGAAAAGCTGCTCCAGAGCTGAAGAGCAGGTAATAAAAATGTTCATCTAAAATATTTCTTTCATTTTTATCTAATTAATTAGCCTCTTAAAAATTAGGATCAAAGGGATCAAATTCATCAATGTCATTATCAATGATTTAATTTGTAAAACAGTTATATTCCGTTAAGCTAATAAGTCAATTATACAAGTAAATGATTTCTATAATTCATGAATGATTTAAGGACGATGGTTAGAATTGTTGGTGATTAATAGTTTTAATCAACAAATTAAGGCCCTTTGAAATGTTTAAATCAGCGGAGCTTTCACCGCGGTTAAATATTAGACCTCTGTGAAACAACATGGTTCCAACACAGCGATGCCATTGCTCCAGCACTTAAATCAAGCTCAGGAGAAATCAATTGCCTTGAGGCAAGAAGTGTGAACTTTCATACCCTAAGCCCAATTTCCTTGAAAGTTGTGGCTCTAAATCAAATCAAGCCAAGCCAATGCACCGTGGAATTATGCAGAAATTGACACCACTATATAATGACAACCAGTAAAAAATACTGCCAAGGCTAGGAAACGTCAGGGCTGTTTATCCACCCCACATATGTTTTACCTTCCTGGTGCTGTGATGATGTGACAAGTCAACCCTGATCATCTTTGTTTTCATTCAGGCCACAAGAGCAGTGCTGGGTGCATGCAGTGGACAGCAGAAACTCAAGTCCACAAGAGACAGTTTACAAGCTCTGCAAATGCAAGAATGACTTACACGAAATGCTGTTTAGATTAAGAGAGGGTGTCAGTTTCTGCAAAAAGTTTAAGCTGCCTTTACAGTTCCCTGCTGTGGCAAGACTGCTTTGCTGCATGTGCATGGCTAATCACAGCTGATAGAAAAACCTTGGATGGAAAAAAAAATCTCTGTGATCAAAAGAAAAAAATGGCATTAAATTTAGAGACACTAAAGGAGCTTTCAACTTTTGAAATGATAATGCCATTAAAAGTTGGCCACCATTTCTGTGCTTAACTTCTGTCTTTGAGTGGTGAAAGTTGCTGCTCATAATAACAGAC